GAACTACAGGGCTTTGGGATACAGAGATTGAGACATGGTTGGAATGGGGAAAAGGGGGGAATAATGTTAAGATGCTTGGCTGTCTTTTGAATCTTGGCTTTCCTTACATTATATTATAAAATAGACACTGGAGGGGGAGAGGAAGGAATAGCCAGAAACATCACCATAGAAAGCTTGTAAGTCCGTCTTCTGCCTATAATTGATTGAATACCTAAAATGGGGCTACAACATCCCCAGTGAAGGAGGCTTCCTGTGGAGCCTCTGCAATACATAAGGCTACAGCCTGAACCACATCCAGATCTCCAGAGATGAGAAATTTCCACTTGAAAGGACAGCAGACTAGCCTGGAGCGGCTAGAAGAACAGAAGATACTTCTTAAAAGAAAGACCTGTAAGAACAAACAAGTTGCTTGCCCAGGAAACATAAGGCAAGTAGTTGGGTCCCCTCAGTGCAAACTCCCTTCCAAGAATAAGACTCAATTTCAATGGGAATACACGCTCTGATTGGTGACCACGCTCGTCACCAATAAGGGGAAGTGAGGGAAAAACAGCAACAAAGTGGCAAGCTAAGCCCTACAATGTGGAGAGTGAAGTGTTCAGAGCTCAACCAGAAGAAGAAGAGGAAAAAAAGAGTGATCTGATACAATTTGATGAACTTGACCTACACCTATGGATGCAGTAACTCAAAAGAGGGAACACAGCAAGAATCATTCCCACCGCCTCCACACACAGAATAGACAGGGATGGGCACCTTAGACAATGGCTACCCAAAATGAGGGGGTGGGGGTGGGGTACAAAGGCAAGAAGTGACTGGCTTACAAGCTTTCAAGAGGGACCCTAGAACCAGGGGGCCTGGAGGAAGGCAGAATCTCCAGTGAGTAGTATCCAATCTGTCTAGACGGAGCTGATGAAATGAAATACAGATGGCTCTCTTGTGATACAATAGTGAATAATAGTTATCAGGACTGACTGTGAGGGTTGGAAATGTAAAGGTAGATGTTTTATAACAAGGAAGGGAGTGATTAATTTTCCAGTCTAGGAGCGGAGGTCCCTAGGACCATCAACGGAGAAGAGCCTAGAGCAGGACCCTACCCAGAGAAGCAGTGATGCCTGAGATGGAGGCAGAGACGATGACGTGGAGCGATGGAGCAGCTGGGGATTTTAGATCCAGAGAGGGAGAGCGACTGTGTGCTGAAGACTGGGCGGGGAACAGGGGGAGTAGTGTAGGGGGCAGGCTTGCAGGGTATATCCTTTGGTTGGTTGATGATGCATGGAGGGGATTGTAACCATGGCAATAAAACGATATATGATAGAATGAATGTAAAACTAATGTTCTCCCATGTAAACTATCATATAATTCACAATAAAACATTAAAAAAAAAAAAGAGGAAGAAGAGGCCTGTAGAGAGGCTGAGTGATTACCTAAAGCACTGTTCTTGTTAAGTGCCATCAAGTCAATTCTGAGTTACTTTGGTAAGGTACAGGATTTCCAAGGAGCAGCTGGTTGAGTTTGAGCAACCATGATTCTTGTGGTTAGCAGTTCAGTGCTAATCCTATAGTGCCACACCATGACTCCATCTAAATCACTACACATCATCAAAATGCAAGAAGAACTTATCAGGGAAAGCCAGGAAGTCAGTCAAGGGCAGGAAAACAGAACCTAGTTAGTGTCCCTGGTGTGTAGAGGAAGCTACCAGTCTACTGTCAGAAGACAGAAACACATGGCTATCCATTTTATAGTACAAAAAAATCTCAGCATAACCTCAGAAGAAACGCTGAATCACTGGACCTCTGTGGCATTCACTTCTAGACAGATTCTGGAAAGTTCTATTTTCCTTGTAACTGCTGCTCCTCTGCATCAAACTTCTATTGGAACAGAGGGGATATGGATAAGATGGGGAGCAGAACACAGTAGCTTCCCCATACATACCAGTCTCTAGGTTATAGTTTCTTCAATTTCTACTAGCCATCTGTTGTCCCACCAAATCTGCCATCAGAACTACTCACCTGTACTGGCTCCTCCAAGACTCCACTGCAAATAGGGCAGATAAGGTCTTCATCAACATCCCCCTGGAATCGGGTTACATCATACCCCATGTCTCATCACTGAAACCCAGTTCCTGGAAAAGAAGAGAAGAGAAGAGAGGCCAGTTCAGAACACACTGACAGGATGCATTCACATGTTTAACAAATATTTATTGAGAGCCTACTATGTGCCAGTCATTTGGTGATGGTGGTAGTGGTGAGAGATCTGACTCAATAAACTTGATTCTAACGGGGAAGACATTAAATAAGTATACATGTGAAATACAAAGTGATAAATGCTTTCATAGAGTAAGCATAGGCAATATGAGGACAGGAGATGTGGTAACCTAAGTTCGGTTTGATAGGAGAGGATGGTTATGAGATGTTTTCTAGGGCTTGGTATCATCAGAGATGAGTACTACAGGAGAAGAGTTAGCTTGTTACTTCGGTTGCGGAGCATAATAAAGTTTTAGGCACAAGAAATAGTGCATTCAAGGCCCAGAAGTAAGAGGCACATGGAGGATTTGGGCTCAGAAAAAGGTTGGATACAAGGACTGGAGTATCAAAATATAAAACTAAAGAGGCAAGCAAGGGATAGGCCATGAAAAGTAAGAGTTGGACTTTACCTTGAAGGCTATGGGAAGTCACTGGTGAAAGAATGATACAATAAAAGTTCCCTTGTAACATTACTCTGTCTATAGAGGAGAGACTGGATACAGGAAGACTATCCAGGCAAAAGAGAGACGGTGAGAGTCTGCACTTAGTAGTGGTCATGGGGATAAACAAGGGATATTCAGGAAAGCAAAAACTCAAGGAACAGAGGAGAACAATCAAGATGGCAGATCGGGTGGACGTGTAGCAGAGAGCTCCGCCAACAACAAC